TCTTCATCTCTTCTCCCCCTCCTCCTATCTCTTCCCGTCTTCCTCATAGCCATCCTGGTCCTTTGTGTGCGAGTCAATTAGCCAGCCCTTTAGTTTTGATTTATAGACCTGGGACCTCCTATGGCCTAATGGATTGCTGTGAATTAATATGCAATGCTTATGTGTGTGCGTGATAAATTAAAGTGCAGGAGGCACAATAGAGGTCACACAGGTACCTCACTCTGTACCGACGGTGGTTGAATTGGCGCCACTCTGGCCCCCAATTTTCATCCCTCACTCGAAAGAAATCAATTTGTAATGTCGACATAATGGATGACGAACAATAATAAAGTGACTGCTTCGCTCGTTTGGATGAAGTCTTTCAATACCACTTGCCGTGTGGAAATAATTAGGCAGGTCATAAAGATCGGGAGCAGCGATTGTTATTGTCTGAACAAAAAAGGCATTATTGGATGTCAGAGCGACGCGTTTGGAGGAGATTCATCAGCTTGTATTCCCCCCCCCCCCCCTTTGTTGACTGAGGACAACAACCCGCAGATTAGAGAGGTCAGGATAGGTGCAAGAATACATCACCATCATCACCCTCATCATCATCATCGTACTTTTGTAACACACACGCTCTATGGCCAGAGGCTATTTACGCCAATCCAAAGTCAAGAGGCCCCGTTCTGGTGGTTTATAGTTCACGGGGTCGTGAACTCTGCGGTCTATATCAGAAAATGTCTGACAGAGGGCCTATCAGCGCCCTGCTGCACACACGCACACACACACACACACATATAGGCAGTGGATCATCACGGTTGGGTGAAAACCTTTCATCTTCACAATGTCAACATTTCAGGCACTAACTAAGAGAAACAACCATGTTTTCTACTTTTAGCACAAAGCACATCTGTGAGAGGGTTTCGACACAGCTCAGAGTAAATCTCTGACAAATGGCCCCATCAAATTAGTCATTTCTGCTTGCTAAGAACAGACCATTCCCCCTAATTATGAATCTGAGCTCTCAATACACTATTCCCACAGCTCTGTAATTTCTTCCCGGCGAGTTCTTGAATTTTCTTCCCTTAAATTCCTGAGGCAATTAGGTCAAATCCGTCTCCTGGAAATTCTGCTTATTAACCTTTTCAAATAGAAGGAAACTTTTTTTTTACTTTGCAATGACGTAAAATGTTGTTACTGAATAAAAATGTAAATGTGGCAACTAAAGCATGATTTGTATTTTTTGTGGCAACTCAAAAACATCTTGGTTAAGGTTAGAGAGAGATGGTTACAAAAAATGAACCGCAAGCGTAGTGTTTTTATTGCTTGTGACCCCTTAATATGACCTCTCGTGATAGGTTGCATGTCTGGTGTCAGCAGTTCAATCGAAGAGTGATTTTCTCCTCTCGGGGAAAAAAAAAAAACATTCCCATACAACAAAACTACATTGTGAATTACGTTTCGAGGGGAAAGTGTTTTGTCGGATATATGCTTGCTTTTGTCATATCGCAAATAAGTTTCAAATACGTCCACAGACGTCTGCATGGGGAGGTGGTCAGGGTAGTGTATGGGTCAAATAGCGAGGGAGTTATGTTGCCTAAACCTAACCAAGTTGTTGCATTTTTATTTTGTTTCAATTTACAAAGTTTACAATGTGTTTCAAACTGCGACGGTGATCCGGTAGAAAATATATTTCCCCCGAAACGTAATTGAGAGCGTAGTTTAGTTGTACGGCAACGTAAATTTGTAGGAGACAGGGTTGTAATTAGGTGACAAAGAGTCCTGTAGCCTGGTAGTCGGGTTAAAGTAGTCAGGATGTGATAAAATAGCTGTTTTATTGGAGAGATGAAACACGTCAATGCTGGGAAATGGTGGTTTGCTCTGACTGGTTGACACACATCATGCTGACGTGTGGGCTTATGCAACGAGGCTGGCTGAGTGACGCCCTTAAAGACTCATGGCACCCTGTTAGCTAAGGGATGTAAGGTGCCAACGGTAACGGCCCTCGTTTCAGGTCCGTCTGGGGACACGTGTTGTATTTAATTCCCCATCTCTACCCTCGTTTCCAGTCCTCTCTCTACTGTCAGTTCTAATGAAGGCATAACAATATTAGTATACTGCTTGGACAATTTAGGTTATCATGTGCACTTTTAAGGAATTTTGACAATTGTTATCAAACCCAGTGTCGGGGAACGAGTGTGAGGAAAGTTTTCCAGACAAATAGAGTGCAGCGAACGACAACATGGAGTTATAAGAGATTCTCACCAGTCAACAGTAAATTATAGCTGCTAAAATGATCCCGCATTTCCAGGCTGATTACATTTCTAAGAGCTTTTAATGAGCATTAGGACCATTACAGCTGCTGAGCACAATCTGGATGATATTATATCAACCTTAAAATCAAGTTAAAGGATGAATCATGCCCACATGGGACTTACAAGGGATACTTGTAATGGCAGCCGCCTCGGCAGCAGTAGATGCATAACTGTGGCAGCTGCCCTGGGGGGCCCCTGATAATACTCAATCTAACTGACCTCATTAAGCGACCCTTGTTTTTTTACCTTCTCCATCTCACCCGAGATCTCCACAGTGCCCCTCGCTGCTTTCATCAGAGGTGATGAAAAAGCATGCGTCTAATCATTTCTTTTTCCAGTGTGAGCGTGCGTGCACGTGGGCGGAAGAATATTAACGGTTTAATGGATAACGAAGCCTGACAGGTGGTGCTCTGGCTGAGATTAAGGACCAGTGGGTTAATGACGGTGTGGGTGAGATTGTCATAACTCACAATAAGGCCATTAAAGTGATATTACTGAGAGAAGACTTCAGCTGATACGGGCTCAACTCTCCAACAAGGTGGCATTGGGCGGAGGGCTCCTGCCATTTTTCAGAAGAGTTTTTTTTTATTTTTTAAAACCTCTCGCCTGCAGCTGAGTATAAATGGGCTTTGACTGAAGACAAATCTTAAGAAGAAACAAGAGAGGAGACAAAGGAAGACTGTAAGCTTCCGCTGCTGCATTCGCCCATAAATACAGGGGTAAGGATTCAGAACAACTGTCAACGCATGCAACATCTGTCATCGAATATGAAGTTAGAGCCTTAGATTGGTGTTATTTAGACAATCTAAAGCTGGTTGTCTTTGAAATGTGACAAAATATGTGCCACTGAAATTACAGCATCAGGATGTGGTGATGACAAAGAAACATAAGGGAACAATTTCTATTCTTCCACTTCCTCCTGGACAAAGACGAGCACATTCCTCCAGTCAAGGGGAACACTCCTGGCCAGTTGAAGCTGTAGGACAACAGTGAAGAGAGGAGGCTCTGACAGCAGTCTCTGCAGTTCACTACCCCCCTCCGGTGGTGAGCAGGGGCCACTGCAGGGTCCAGGGGGGCCAAAGGAACAAAGGAAGGAGAGGTGGAACAATAGAGTCGACAGCAGAAAGCAAAGCAGCGACACAGCCAAATATAAAATGTTTACTGCGTGACAGCCTCCCATGATCATGACTCAGACACATGAAAACACGACAAATGAGCAAATGGATGCTCTGTGATCCAAAACAGCTTTCGGGGTAAAACACTGCAACGGCATTACGTATCTGTGATTTTTTGTAGTTCTGGGAAGTCTTGAGTGCTGTGCGCGCTGACTAGTTCGATTCGTATGGGCTCAGACAAAATCACTGCGTTACTGGCTCTCCATACTCTCTCAGCTGACGTTGGCTGCTGTTGCCGGAGTGTAATATTCCCCAAATCCAATACAGGGCATGACAGAGCTGCTAACTTTACACGAAACCCATATATCATCCAGGACCGAGTACAACACAGTGGATTTGCTACCCTTGGGTTTGGGTTTGAAACAATGATTATTTGTACAAGCCAGCGTGACAAAACGAGAGTTGGCTTGAGAGAAAACCCCTCGAATAGCAACACTGTGGAGAATCTTACTATTCTTGTTTCATACATTATGACACGACAACTAAATTTCACATCCCTCTTTGTATGCAGACTTGTAACTCTGGCATCATTTGTAAACATTCATCATCTCGTGGAAAAAGGTTTGCTATTAAAAGAGCATTAAGACCGTGTAAAGTAAATAAAAACAGAATGGGATTGCAATAAATCACTTTTGGAGAAGCTGCTGCAGGTTTGGCGATGACGTGATTGGCAGGAGAAAATACAAACTCCACAGACTCCACATATCAGGTCATCTTTACCAATAATGCGCAACATATTCATGCGACTCTCCACTCTCACGTTTGGAGGATTATTTTTGTCTTTCCACGTCCATCTTTTCGGACCTCGAAATTCCTGATGGGGGCGATCCTGTGCCATGAATCTGTGTCACTGTGGACCTGCAGGGGTCAGAGCTGCCACTCGAGCTCCTCTCCTCTGCACCTGAACAACATCCACCTGCTGTCACCTGTATCCTCCGGGACCACACCCAGTCCTCCGCTCATCAGATTACTGATCTCCGCCACAGGCTCCTATACCTGCGTGGACATCGTCACTCGACGGATACATTCAGGCAGAGTCGTCCTCGCACTCACTTCCGCACACCTGGAAACACCTGGGCCGGAAGAAACCGAGAACGCCTGCTTCTTTTCTTTATTTGTTTTCATGTGTTGCTTTTTCTTTTAGGTCAGCTTTGCCTTCTGAAAGCCAGGACTGGTTTAAATCTGCGCAACTTTGGATATAAAGAAATATTAGCACACTTAAAAAAAGGTAAGATTTGTGTTCCATAATGTCTACATGTAAAGACGTTCAACTTTCCGTTCCATTGTGGCTCTCCCTCTCCTCTAGATCTCTCATTAACAGATATCTTTACCGTTTCTCACAGCTGCGTGTGTTATCATTAGGACTCATTGTCAGCGATGTCATTTTCACAGCAATTTCGGCGGGATGTGGGCTGGATGTTATGGCAAAGCGTGCGTGTGAAGATCGTGTACGAGTGAGAGATAGAAGGTCTCCGCTCATGGAAGAGGAAATGCAATAATTTATCTTCCCCTTTTATTACAGATTAAAATGGGCTGCTTCACATTTGTCAAATTGATGACGGTCTTGTTCAACTTGCTTATCTTCGTGAGTATGTTTCCGCTTTGATTGCATGCTCGGGTATGAGGAGGAGGTTATAGAGAGGGGGGGGGGTTTGGGTGTTCATTGATTATGCTGAATCTTAACATGCAAAGTAATGTGAAAAGTAAAAAAAATACAAACACCACAAAAACAATAGCTTTCAACACAATGCCCAGAAAATCATTTCATGTCGCCCTTCAATGCAAACAGACGGTACACAAACATTTCGGATCACTGGGCCAGAAGGCCTACTTTCTCCTCCACTTTCTCCCCACCGTAGCAATTTTCATCCCATTGACTTCAAAAGACTCTAGTTTTGCCACCTACATCCCCGGCTTAATGTTGATAACTAATGTGCTTTGTGAAATGGAGAGAAACTTTGTCGAGGGGAAGCTGAATCCGCCCGCCGAGTCGGGCCCACCTGGGTTCCCGCTGTCACAGATGAAGCTCCCAGCACAAGACATCATTCCCCCCCGAGTTACGATGCTCAATGAATCTGGCGTGGCAGCTCTAACACTCACAGCAGCCCACTGACCACGATGTCTCTCTGAAGTGTTAGCTCAAACACTTTCAACGGCGTTTAACGTTCGTCGTTGCACCTTTAACATCTCCTCTTCATCAGAGGAGTCGGAATCTGCATTCAGAGTATTTTTCTTTCGAGGAAATAAGGGCCAGGATTCAAATAAGAATCGATGTTCTTCATCGGAAGTCACAGAATCACGTTTGCAGTGAAGTGAAGCTGCTAAATATGATGCTGTGAAGAAGGAAATATCTCTTCAAAGTGCACAGTCTCCAGGATTTCACAATTTCCGGTTGTATCAAATTTACATTTTTTTGGTATTCCCCTTAGCAAAACCTAAAATAAGATTCATTCAGAGAAAATGAACCAGAGGAGAACACACCAAACCCAGACAGGTGGAAGCCAGGGAGAAAGATTGGCCAAATGCAGCAGGTTTGTACAGTGATGCAGTCAGACCATTGACTCCAGCAGGTGAGGCCAAGCAGTCCTGTTGAAAGTCCCTTTACACGATGTAATGTTGGGCTGTCTAAGACAAGGGTTGAAATCTTTGGTTGTCATTCAAAAGAGGTAGTTCTAGTACAGTAGATGTCACCGTGAGACATGACCACTGACGGCCGACCAAAGTGTCCTTTGGTGACCAAACAGCCCGTGAGTCTGACCAGTCTGAATGAATGAATCAGCATATGACATGAAATTATGCAAAATGCAGTGACGAGCTTGTACTTGTCGGATTGTTATTGTACAATCTATAGGTGCCTTCTGAGAGGGCAGAAGAAGCTGTGCTCTTTTGAAACATGTTTCCATTATCAAGAACCGAGTACCAGATTCTCAATTCCATTTATGAATTATCTTTTAAAGATCTGAAAATAAAACGTAGCTGAACAAACCATAACGCTGATATACAAGTTTGCAAAAAAGCCTGCGATTTCAGCTCCAAGTGTGAATCTCCCCTCTTGCCGATCTGAATGCATTGGGAATGAGAAGTGTCTCCATGTATGTTGTGTTTGTTCAGACCTACCCATGAAAATGGGTTTTTAAACTGAACTGACGTCTTTCTCAATCCAGCCTTTTCAACGAGAACCAATTCCATTTAAATTGGGGTGGGCCGCGCCCGTTCTCTTTCCTGCTACCTCAGTATCTTTCTATCTCTCCATTCACCTCCCCCTGGAGGCCATGGCCTCCTATTCTGCAGCCTGTTATCCATTCCCTCTCCTCTAACCCTAATAGCTTTTATTTCCCATCTCCATAGATACGACACTGCTTCTTCTCCCCCCTTACTATTTCAAAAACCTGATTTACTTCCAGTCCTTTTGCCATGTGGGTGTTCAACTGACAGGACATCCACCTGCATGTGGCACACCATCAAAGGGATTAGACATCTTTCAAAAAAAAAAAGAAAAGGAAAGCCATTGTGCCAGCTATAATTATACCTGGTGCGGGATGATGGTGGCACACGAGGAGTTAGAGGGGGAATATGCTTGTCGTATTACATTTAGCCAACGGTGCACTGATGGCACTGAACAGGTTCAAGAGACGAGAAAATAAAACCCGGAGTGAAAGGTGGGGCGAAGCGGAGAGAATGAAGGAGAGTAAAAAATAGATAGGGAGAGCGGGGCCAAGACAGGGAGACAAAGACAAGAAGGGGGGGGGATGATCCCCGTGTGGGCGATGTCAGCGTCTGACAGGAGATGTGGAGTGTCGGGGCCTGAGGGGGGGGGGGGGGGGGGCGCAGCGGGGGCCCCCTGACTGCGACGAGTCTGATGGAGCCTGACAGACAATATCAGGTTTCAAACATGGTTTCTGCAAAGGACGAGGTAAGAAGGAGAAATCACTCAGCGCGAGGAGTTCAGGGTTAAAATACACGGAGGAGACAGAGGAGGAGGATAAAGGGGTGGAGGAGAAGGTCAGAGGTGGAGGGATGAGGAGGGAGAGGCAGGCAGAGAGACAATGACAGTGGGATCAGGTGATTTCCAGACTGTAATGTGAAACATCTGACATAGTTTTGATCGTGATTGTTATGAGCGGGTTTTGCAGGTTTTGAGCCAATAGTTTCACTAAATACACTTCAGTGTCCCCCGAACAAAATGACTGCCTGCTTGCTTTTGTGATGTTCACAGTCAGAGATTATGAAACAAGTTTAACTACTGTCAATTCTCTGTAAAGTTTGTATTAACACTATTATAAAATATTTCATAATATTCAAGTAAGACTGTTTTTATTAGCTTTTATTACAAGCTTAAAATGTCCCCATCTCCAATTGTGTTCTTTACAAATCTAAGATAATGTAGAGCGCATTTTCGCAGCACTAATTCAATAATATGAGTGAAACGTAACTCAACTGTATGTTGATGATGTTTTCTTTGATCCTGGTGCAGCTGGGCGGCCTGACCCTGCTGGCCATGGGGATCTGGGTGAGCGTGGACGGGGGCTCCTTCCTCCGGCTGCTGGGGCCGTTCTCCGGCCAAGGCATGCAGTTCGTCAACGTGGGCTTTCTCTGCATCGCCATCGGGGCCATGCTGTTGCTTCTGGGGCTCCTGGGCTGTTGCGGGGCTCACAAGGAGAGCAAGTGTCTGCTGCTCACGGTGGGTGTAAAAGACACGGCTTATAAAGTGGCCGCACTAGTGCAGAGGCAAGTCAAAGGCGAGGCGGAACCAAACCAGAGCTAAAAGAGAGCGCATATTGGACTTACATCCATCAGGTGGACACAATCACCATTCCAATGGGATGACAATGTTACTCTGTGTCTGCTGGATGTTTAAGGAGGCCATTGTGACACCACAGATGATCACGTATTGGGTTCATCGTGTGCTTTTAAATCCAGTCGCTCCTCATGCAGTATCCCACGCAGCCATGCATTTCCACCCCGGCTCATCAACAGATCAGATAATGGCCACGTCCGCCCCTCCTGCCTCATTCATGCCCGCAACGCCACCAAACCCCCGAACAGTGGCGTACATTATTATGCTCATTAGCGACGAGGCTAACTACCTCTTAGTCCACTGCGGCGAGTCTAATGAGGAGCACAGGCAGCACGTTTTACCCCTGTAGAGCCCCCCATCATGTCCACATCTGCCATCGAGTTGAATGATGACGGAGCAGCGGATCCTGCGACGACGGCGGATATCTGGCTCACGTGAGAACCAGCTGTAATGGACTGAATAACTGCAATGGTCGAGCTGAAAGAGGGCATCACTCAGGCTACGAGTCTCCTTATTGTCCCGCTGTGTAATCAGCCAAGCTTTATGGACAAGTCTGTGATTGTTACGTACAACAACAGCTGTTTAACTGGACCCTGGATATTCAGATGTGTTGGTGGTTACAAACCTCTTGATGTTTAAATGATTCATTTATTAATTCAGTATTTTATCTTTCCACATTCAGTCTTTTTGAAAAAGGCTCCATACTCTTAGACCCAATTTATTATTGACTTAAAAAGTCAATCTTCATCAGAGCAAATGTTGACACAAGGTAATCCCACAGCTTTACAGCATTAAGAAGACCCCACCCGTGCACGATTTGTATTATTTTGATATAATTAAATACAGAAAGAAAAAGAACATCTCATCTCCTCTTCTTCCCTCCCTGCAGTTCTTCTCCATCATCCTCATCATTTTCATCACTGAAGTGGCAGCTGGAGTCGTGGCTCTGGCCTACTCTTCATTTGTAAGTCTCCCCCTCTTCACCTTCATTCACTGCCTCATCACATCCCCTTCCCTTCTATGACCCCTCTTTCTCCTCCTCTTCACTCCCCTTTCCTTTGTCTCTTAATTCGTCTCGTCCTTTCTCTTTCACCCTCTCACCTCCTCGTCCCACTCTCTGGATTTTATCTCCATGTAAATTCTGCATCATAGCCGTAGCCATCACTGAATTACTGGCTTTATGTCCGCCTCACTACATTCGGCTACTTAATGACTCCGGGATAGCCCGGGGCCGTGTGCGCTGTCGCTAACTTTGAGCAATTTATTACTCTGGAATATTGAAGCTAAAGCATTTTATATGCAAAACAGCCTATTTACATATGTGTTACCCTCACTCTATTTCTCACTCTCTCTCTCACACTCACACACACACATGCGCCCTTTACATTAAGTGCCACGTATAATAAGTACAGGGCTTTCAAATGAGAAAGTAAAAGGAGGTTAGTGAAGATTGGGATCCTAATAAAGAAAATAGTTTATTTTAATTTTTTTCTAAACCAATCAGAGGATGTATCTGAGTCTCCAGGAGCAGAAGAGGTAATCTAAACAGTATCCATCTGCAGGGAGGAGCTGATGAACGGAGAGTGGACTCTGCACTTCCTGGGAATTTCACATGTTTGTTCTGGTATCGTTGGTAGACCAGTTTGATCATCAGCAGCAGCAGCGCACTGCAAGGAATCTTAGTAGTACGTTTTTTTAGCTAAATGTGGACAAGAGTTGTCCTCTTGTGGACTGAGTTTTGAAGGGCGACTTGCATTTGTTGTATACTAGAAAGTGAATGGTGAAAACAGTAGTTAGATCACTACAGAGGCTGATATTTCCCCCTGCAATTGTTTTTAGTCTCGATATCTTTATGTTTTAATAAATTCTCTGAATTTTTGTAATTTTTTCCCGCCATTTTTAGGTGCAGCACAAGTAGTTTGGTTGCACTCTTAAAAGGTCCGCACGGAGTGGATCAAATATATTGCACTAAAGTGATGTAATTCTATGGACTCTATTGATCACATACCTGATGAAGACGTGATGTCAGAATTTTACTCAAATCTTTACTGGGAGCATCGATTCAGTGTTCAGCTGGGTTTTTCAAGATACAGAAACTCCTTCTTGAATTCTTTTTTTTTTTTAAATATTAAAATTATTTCACTGCACTGACAATTTCTTTCTCATTTTTTAAATAAAATTTGATATTTGATTGTACGAACGATAAGTGGATATTTCTGTTTCGCAGTAAATAGGTCGACCTTGAACTTCTCCTTCTCCTTCTCTCTCTCTGTTTCATGTTTACTTTCTCTCTCAGCTTTACCGTCCAACCCTGTGTCTGCTCTCACGCAAAGACGCTAAGAGTGCGTGTGTTTCTCAGTGCATGGGAGAACTGCTGCTGAGGCAGTTTTGTTGAAATAAATCTGCCCCATCTCTTGCTTGTCATTTACAAAAACTGAGCTATTGAGCTAGGCGTGCATTGTAAACAGCTTTTGCTCAGATGCCAGCATGCCAGCGCAGAGGGGGGGGGGGGGGAGAGCTCAGTGAAATGCAAGACATAACTCAAGATTTGTCTTCCTGAAGGAGATCACAGATACGGTTAAGAGTCAATTTAACGCGGTTTGTTAGCTTTAGCATCATCTGTTCATTACAAACACAAAGGACATTGTCAGGTCCATGGCGGTCATGAGTGCATCAGAGCAGCTGTCCATTTCCTGCTTTTGATAAGACACAGTAAACACAATAGCATCATAATAAGGAATATGGGCAATATACACCTAATATGCATACATATAGCCGCCTGTGTCAATAAGTAAGAGACAGAGGCGTGGACAATGAAAGGGGAGGATAAATAAAGAGCTGATCTATTCGGTCCTACTTATCTGCGGCATAAATCTGCCTTTTGGCCAGCGGGCCCCCGCAGCTCATCTAACCGAAGCACCAATAACCTTCAGGTGGTCAGAATAACTGAGATTTAATAAGCAATTCCAGCAGGCATTATGAGAGGCCGTCAGTGGTCATGGTTGTTCTTTCTCCGCCAAGTGATTCGGAAGTGACCCGGGTGGAGATTTATTACCGGGGGCTGATATGGACTTCACACTGCATGAATGAAATAGATGCGATGTGGCATTTAGTGAATCACACCGTCGTCTATGGACAGTAAAGGAATGTTCTCTCAAAACGTAATCCAATACCGATTGGTGTTTTCTTTACTATCTCGTCAGTAAGAGGAAAGATTAGCCCGAGTAAGTGATGCGGGATGATTAACTCCAATTACTTCTGCTTTAATGCTGCACCAATCAATAGCATTATATAAAAAAAATGGAAGAAACGTGTGTACTTGGAAGGCCTCACTCGTGACAAACCCACAGAGAATCAACACCAGTGCTGTAGTTCCCCCTCAGTGCTACGGAGGAATGTAAGTTTTCAGCTGAATGTAATAAGTAATAACATGTATTGCTTTTCCACTTAAGAACAATAACCAATTAGCAGCCGACGAGTCACTGACGTAAAAGATATCAATAATTATTTCAGGTGCAGCAACACACGGTAAAGCAGCAAGAGATCAATAACACATGAAGCTGAAGATTTTTATCGCGCACATGTGCGTGTGTGTGTGTGTGTGTGTGTAGCAGGAGTTCCCTCTACTGTATTGTTAGATGTGTTATCGCCTCCCGCCTCACTGTGCCGTGGGTTACTGTAGGCTTTGTCCTGCCTGTCCGATGTGTGTGTGTGTGTGTTTGCAGGGGCCCATATCAGTGTGTAAGCATGCGAGTGTGTGTGTTTAACAGGATATGGTGAGGCGCGGGGCAGAGTGACAGTGATGAATTAGCCGGCTGGTAATAACCCTCTCTGATCTCAGCCGCTCTCACAGCTTCTTGGGGGGGCATTTTTAATTGTGGCATGTATCCCAGCATCCCCTTGGGCATCTCGTACGCCTGCCCCCTTCACTGTACACACACACGCACACACACTCACAGAAGGAGAGGAAAAAAAGAAGCACTTTCAGACACATAAACCTGATAGACACTCGGTTGCACTTGTCCACATGCACATACAGTAAGGCACACACTCACCCTCCTCATCAAATGGGTCTTTGCGTGACTGTACGCGACAGGATTATTAATCAAAATGGGGGTAAAGAAAAAAGACTATGGGAGGGAGGAGGGGAAGCCGTGAAAGAAAGCTAACCTGTGTGTTTGTGAAGGAATTCTTCCCCAACAAAAGACTTGGGAGAGTCTTTTGTTGGGGAAGAATTGCCTGAACCATAACCTGCAGATTTTTTGCACTTTGGATAAACACAAATAGCAGACAAAATGTGTCCTGACCAAAGCCATCAGGAACATCAATATATATGTAAATGCCCCCCCGGTTCACGACCATAAAAAGGAGAAGAAGAATGGAGAATAATGTCAGGTCATTTTTTGATTTATTTTCATTTTTTCCAGGTGCCAGGCCGGGGCTGTTTATTTCCCAAGTGCTTTGTGTGAGAGATTTATTTAATTTCTGATGAATAGGTGACTCCCAGAGAATTACTTTTCCTGCCCTTGAAATCAGCTGCAGTATTTTATTTTCATAGTGTGATGTGTGTATACTCAAGTGTGTGTATGTGTGTGTGACACTGTTGGACTTCTGCAGTGAAGACATGTGCTTTTATAGCCATCTACAGGACCTTATTTGCATGTATGGGCCTCTAAAAGAGACAGTGTGTTGGTGCTTTTAAAAAAAAGTTGGTTATTTTTTACTTAATTTCTAATATTGTACCGTTTACGCCACTACATTTTTTTTGACAGCTTTAGTTATAGTAATGTCAAAGAATCCAATTAATAAAAAATGCAAATCAACTCATAAATCATTGTTGAGCTACTTACATTTTATTATCGTGAGCTACGCAAAGCGTGGTATTGGCTTGCTATATTGCCCCCACCTTAGGAGACTTTGCATCATAACATAGAGCCAACCAATCGCTGTAATTTGTTGCCATTTATTTTTATTATTGATTTTAATCCATTAGTGGTTGCAGTTCTAACTTCTAAAAAGTGAATTTTTTTTTTTTACCTTTAATGGAGCCAGATTAAGTATTTTGTAATGGGAGGAAATTGTGGGAAAATTAGGGCATTTTGGAGAGTAACAACATTTTTGGTAAGTGTGGACTTTTGTGGACATGACATTTTAAGTGAGGAATAAAACTGAGACATTTTAGAAAGTGATGGCATTTTTGGACAATTGGGGCATTTTGGAAATTGAGGACATTTTTGCAAAGTAAGACATTCTGGAAAAGTGGGGAGGGACATGTTTGACAAATGAGGATACATTTAGTAAGTAAGACATCTATAGAAAGTGTGGATATTTAGAAAATGAGGATATGGAGAAAAATGAGGTCACTTCAGAAAGCGGACATTTTTGTCAGGCCAGAAAAAGTGAAGACAGAGTTCTTTGCCCTGATGAGAGAATGTAGACTTGCTTTTGGTGCTGTAGTTAGAGTTGCGTTTAGGTTAAGGTTAGAGGCGCGGGGAAACAAAATGTCAATAAGTGTCCTTACATGTGTGTGTTTTTCCCAGGCAGAGGGGATCCTCAAAACGTGGGCGACCCCTGCTTTACAGACAGATTACGGCAGTGATCCTGTGGTCACCAAGATCTGGAATACTACCATGACAGAGGTACAGTATCGGCACTGTTTGTTTTTTACTTTTGCATTAAAGTACTGCTATTGCATGTGTGCCTGCAACAGAAATTGCATATGTATACTTCACCTTTAAGAAAAATCATTATATTTATTAAGGAATATGCACCATGTGTGCTCAACATAAACGGAAATAATGAAGACATTACAGATAGTTTTTGACACAGTCTATATTGTTTTTTTAGTGGTGCATATTAATAAATAAAAATAACACAAACTGAACACAGAGTGAACCACGGGATTCTTGAGCCCCTGAGGGTTGATTTAATGGATTAATGTTCTCTCTGTGTCCTTCAATAAAACAGCAAACAACCCGTTTCTAAAATGCAGCGCAACAATTTCTGAAATGAAATCAAACAAAAGCAACAACAGAAATGTAGACCGTGTGCAACATGGACCTGCCTTTGTCCATTCGTTTTACTTCAGCTCACCTGCACACAACAGCCTCAGTCAAGGTAACTCGGTAGAAAGAAAAACTTTCATTCTTACGATGTGACAGCTCTACAATGGCTCAGTTTACATTGACAAAGTAAAACATTCAAGCAGTCTGACCTTGACAACAAAAAGAAAAAAAACTTGATGTTTTGCCTTCATTTGCCATTGTGAGGTGGATGGAATTTAGTTGTTAACTCTCAAAGCGTCTAAAAGCGACATTTGTAAAACTCAAAGCAATGTGGTGCCCCAGAGAATGTGTCATGGTTACTTCATAGTTTTAAGTGGTTTCACACTTTTTGGGTAAATGCAACACAGTAAATACAGATCTGTTCTGAATGCAAATGCACAATAAAACAGAGCAACAACTAAACTCACAACTCCCTCTCACAGAGCAGCAAGGCTCTCACTGAACTTTGATAACGTTTCTTAAACGGTTGCACAATGGAGAGGATTAATGCTCATGGATAACACGACATCTTTATCCACAAAGTATTCTCGTCAAGTGTTTTCCTGCTATGTCCCCCCCCCCCCTCTCGCAGCTGGAGTGCTGCGGTTTCACCAACTACACAGACTTTGTCGGCTCGAAGTTTGAAAAGGAGAAAGGAGGCAGCCTGCCACCTGGCTGCTGCTGGACCAACAGCGCCCCCTGCAGCCCTTACGAGGCAGAGCGCAGCGCGGTGCAGGTGAGGTTGAAAACGGCACTACAGATAGATGATGTGAGCAATCGCAACGCTAACATCCATCCCACACATAAAGGGAGCATCACAACTGCATTTGCATTGACTACTGGGTCTGGTATTACCTAAAACGGGAAATCTTATTTTACCGTAACAATTTCTTGCTCATAGAGGTACATGTACAGGCAACATTCATGGTAGGAAAGTCACAATACCAGAAATGTCATAGTCGATACCAGTGCTAGTTGAATTCCATGATTCACGATACCTAATTCGATATCCCGGTAAAATTACAAAAGCAAAACGATAAATCTTCAACATACATCGATAATAAGTTCACCGCGTGCTTTCAGTTGTATAACGTGTCAGCACTCGCTTTGTCACTTGCTAAGGGACAGTTGTACAAACATACCGTGAGTCTCAAAGGCGTTCTATTGTCCCCAGGATGACAGGAGGATGTTAGTTCCGAGCCCTGATCCTTGGTACCTGCCGTTCTGGTTTTCATCATTTTGGCATTGACTTGGTACCGAAGCATCAAGCATCTTGTGACATCCCTTATTCATGGCTGTGACAACGTCGACACTAATTGTTTAATAAATATTATAATTCATTATCTCAATTTAAGTTGGTCTAGGTTGTCCAATCACAGACAGGTTGTCTGCTACAGAGACCGCTCAAGGAACTATAAGGCCCAAATTTATCCAGAACAAAATGAGAAAACATGTTTGAGCACGTGGGAGACTCAAAAAATGTCTTATTTTTCACTAACATGCTGATGTCATAGTATATAGACTTGTTGTCTCACCACGTCGGAAATCAGAAGTTTGAGCCACACTCAATGGGAGAATGGGAGATGCAATATCCCTTAAAAACGTCATTTCTCTCCTGGAAGACATTCATAGCGTTGTTCTCATTTGCACACACAAAAAGGGACAAAACGGTATAAAGAAAGCTAGAGAGGGTTCCTCTATGACCTCATGGCTAGTTGCTGAATTATTTCAGTCATTGCCATCAGTTCAACCCGCCACTGGCATGGCTACAAATGCCAGTTAGTTTTTGGACTGAGGTCAAATCAAATAAAGAATACAAGGACATTGATTTTGAGCCTGAAAACTGGTGATTTGCCATGTTTGTTTAAACATGGCAACATGGCCAATTAATTAAACTGAAAAACCCTTCAATACATTGAGAGTTAGAATGAGCTACTGTGCATCAGGTGCAGCCAGCCATAATTTCCTTACTGTCAAAAACGTGTATTATATTGCAAAATCAGTGAATGTCATATATTTTGGCCATTGGCGTCTTCCTTTGTTGTCTATTGTGTGTATTGTGTCAATTTGTGAGGAATGTATCATTCTATTTACACAAACATTTTGCTCAGGGCTGTTTCAAACATATCTTGGAGAACCTCAAAGAGCACGCCAACATCATGGGAGGCATCGCAGCAGGAATTGGAGTCTTCGAGGTAAAATAACACAGAAAGGCTAAACTTTCAAAAGTGTGAGTCAGTGCTTTGGTACATACTAAGTAGTGTAAAAATCCCCAATCAACAAACTGCAACTGCAAGGCCGGTGTCTTGGTCAAAGTTAGTGGAGGTAATATTATATCTTTATTATAAGAGGGGGGATTAGAACCCTAGACATCTACATGGAGCCAGCTTTTCTGACAACCAGTCTCATTAGCCAAACACACCATGTGATCTGGATGGAAAAATGAAAGTCCCAAAAGTACAATATGTGTATCATATAGAATATGTGTACAGAAACATTTGATAATGATATAATACATGTGTGAAGAGGTAACCCTGTGGGTATATGACCAGTTTAGTTTTCTCGTCTTTTCTTTATTAATACTTGAGACCTCTGTAATGTCTGATTATCATCTGATCTGCACGGTTTTAGTAGCCTAAAGATAATACAAAAAACAGATTAATTTGTGTCATGTTGTTTCCTCAGATTGCTGCAATGATAGTGTCCATGTACTTGTACTGCCACCTGGACACGAGAATCAGCTGAGACTCCTTCAGGGAAACACCACAGGAACGACACAGACATGTTATTTTGTTTTTAATCTGCATTATTTATTTTCTTTCTCTTTTCTGGTTCCCTCTTTTTTCAGAAAGATGTCTAGCTTCAATACAAAGTCATGTTTATGATCTATCTACTGTATCTATCTATCTATCGAGAGAGCACCTGCAGAGTGGAAATATTTCATATTTGCCAATAAAATATTTCTAACAGCATTTACTCAGCGATGACTACACCTGGTTGTTCCCTATACATCTATTTTATGGAGTAGTCAACTTTTTTTTACAGGACTATATGGTGACACAGTGAATCAATTATTCTGAAAGGCGTCGCTTAGTTATGAACCGCCCACTCTGCAGAGCTTTTTAGCCTCTTTCAGCTGCTCCTTTTGGTCCTGTCTGGTTTTAGTCTCAGTGTTTCCAGAGCCAGCAGGCAAAGTTTTTTTATCAAACAAGCTTGGATAAACCCACTCTAAAGTACCTGCCCGGCACCAAACAGCAGACGGACACAGTTAGAGACTAGCTGGCAAGCACTAAGCATCTTGAAACAACCACAAAGCGTTGCCAGGTGACATCAAAGAGATGCTAAATGATCACAAAGAGGCGCAAACAACCACAAAGCGATTCCAAACGGCAACAGAACAACACAAAACTACCACAAAATGACGCACATAAACTAAAAAGGCGATGCCAAGGGACATCAAAAAGTCGCAAACCACAAAGAAACGTGAAACATCCACAATAACCAAAACGCCTTTTACATACTGTATCTGTGCCCAGCGGCACATTGTCTTATAGTCCTTAGATGATTGAGATATCCACGACCACAATTTATGCTTGTTTTCTATATTAATGTGATACAATCGTTCTTTTCTTAAAAACATATATCTGAAGCCTTATTTCCCCATAAGGCCATGCAAGTGAAAGGAAACAGCAGAGCACAGTGCAGCTTTTGTCCTGTTTACTATTCATCAATGTTCCATCTCCTGCCCTTGGATATTACATGCATTGTGACACAAGGATAAGTAAATAATGACCAATAGAAGGCCTCATAATGGGCAGGAGGCAGAGCGTTGTTCAGATATGCAGCAGTTTATCTACCACTCCTAAATTAGTGCTTTCATCACAAATCCACAAGCGTTGTTCAACTGTCTCTGTGTGACAGAGACGGATACTGCAAGTGGGGGGGAGGAAGAGAGAGAGAGAGAGAGAGAGAGAGAGAGAGAGTGTCATGCGAATAAAGCTATTGTGAATTAGAAATTTGAGTGGGAGAAACAGAAAGACAGCGAGAGAAAGAGATCAACAGGAATAGATCACTTATTTTCAGTCTTGTGTGCAAAGACATGAATTCGGCGGCCATAATTAATTTCTTTGTCTCAGAGAGATCTTTCATTTTTTTTGCAAATGTCATTCTTTAAGCTCCTATGATCAATATGTTTGTATTAACGAAATGTCAGCGCATAATGTGAAAAGTGACAGACGTGCAGCTCCCTTCAGCTCTAACGAGCCTTTTAGCGTCTTTTAGCTCATCGTTTTGGTTTTAAGGCCCAATTCTGAAATTTATGGTTCCGCTCGCATCAGCAGTTTCCATTATCAGCAAATAACCTCTGTTAAGTCCTCGGTAGCCTCGGTGCCCAGCACCAAACAATAGATAGACAAAGTTAGTGATATTAGAAGAACCATCGAGGTGCAAACTAGCCAGATATGTTTCTCAGGAGTTGGAAGAGAAGAAAACATTCATCGGGTGGATAAAACAGTAATTAATGCTAATGTTGCTGTGTATCTAATACATGTGTGAATAGGCAATTGTTTGCTACCAGGTGATGTTGCCATTTTACCAAGTCATACAAATTCTACATCAAAAACAAAAAGGAATTTTTATTTCCTCTTTTTATTTTTCAATAAAAACATTTTTAGTTCTCCCTCTTTTACCGTCATGCTTAACAGTTACCACTCTGTAGCTGCTTTTCCGAGGTTTTCTTTTAAACAGGAATTCCTTTTTCATTCAAAAATGTTTTTAGACATAGAAGGCTTGTTGAAATGGAGAGACGGGGACAGAAAAGGAGCGAGAAGACAAACCAAGTTTGTTTTTCCATCCAATTATACACCTGCAAGGTATTTAGAGTTAAATCTGTCATCGTCTCAGTGCTGCTGAGCTCCATATTTAACAATAACCCCCGGCTCCCTAACTCACACGTACAGAAAATCAATATTCCATATACATCTCAGCCATCAGCCTCTGAGTTCGGCTCATCAGAATGCTCAATAGGTCAATAATGGTATTTAAAAGGCGGCGAACAAACACACACACCCTGATACCAACCAGCAATTTCTGACTGACAGGCACAGATGGCCAGGTCTAGAGCTATAGCTGGTGGTGGCGGATGTGTGTGTGTGCTGACAATGAAACAAATGCCTTGTGGAGAAAAAGGCCTTACATGGCGCTCTTGGCACTGTCAGTTAGTGCGTAACGCAGTAACACACACAAGAGCTATCGCTTTGTATTCAGTCAGAAAATCCATCTTAATTAGACGTGACGCAAATGTTTCCAGCAGAATGGTTCATAAACACAAACAGTGACATCAGCTCACAAACACACAGGACAGACTCCATTAACACTACTGATCCCTGTTGATGAGACGGATAGAGAATGGATGGCCACCTGGGCTGGTGTTAATGCACCCTCAGCTGTTTTCAATCATATTGGATTATTTCCAGTAAAAATGTGCTCAATAGATAATTCTAAATTCATCCCAACGTGGTTCTTGTGTTTGCTACATAATTTCTGTCAGTAATAACAATAACCCAGTGTTAAGACAGGTGAAGAAACACACGTCAAACACATGACAACTTCCATGTCAACCAGGAAGTGAGTCCGTAAATTGACCCTTCGCTAAGTCCTGCCCTGGAACGCAGACTGGCAAATCATAGCGTAGCTTTGGGCCAGCTCCGACAAGGGTTCCCCAAGTATACAGCTTCTGCTCCATAGTTTCTAAACATTACGTTTCTACGTCAAAATGTGTGGAGCTGACATTTGGAGTAAATTAGCACATTGTTAATTAGCGTTGTGACGTCTATGCTACACTAGCTACTGAAGGTATAATGAATGTATACACATGCTGCTTTTGCTTTTTATTGATTGTAACAGTATATAACGGCCATCCCGGCTTTAAAGGAACAGTGACTTAATTGATCGTCTTCTGTCTCAATCGCCAGGTGATGTGGTGGTTCATTTTTACACCGTGATCTAAAGACTTTAGGTTGGAGCTTTATCTTATTAACATGTTGTTGTAGACTCTTCTATCTGCTTCTCTCTGAAAAACACTTTTACAGTTTTCCAAAAACTAGCCAATATATATTCAGGAAGTGGAGTTAGTGACAGTGTGGGCTCCATGGCAGCTTGATGGAGTAGCAGCGTGTGTGTATGTGTGTGGGGGGGGGGGGGGGGGGGGGGGGGGAACAGTCAGTTGTGACAGATGTTTACAATAGTTTAAGGATGACAGAAAAGAGGAATGCACACAATTGTTGGAGGTGCTGATCACGAAAGTACGGGTAAGAAGGAAGACAGTCACTCACTCGTAGCCACCATGCAAAAAACAATATAGACTTTTTTTTTTTTTTTTGCATGGTGGCTACGAGTGAGTGACTGTCCTTCACACCTGTTCTTTCATGATCAGCGTGACGTTCCTCCAAATCATCCCCTCACCAGGTTTCTCCATCATTACCCACATGAGTGTTGAAGACCCCCCAGCAGAACTACAGCGCTGGTTCCTTCCCCACCAGAGTTTGACATTCCACGTCCCTAGAGCAGTATGCGATGCTAGGGGTCGACGTCCATGGGTCTTCGCTTTTGCCTGCCGCCTGGCTCACAATGCACCCAACCATGCTATCCCTGCGCGTAGGTGGCACATAGGGCAGCCACATTGTAAGAAACCAGAAATATCCTTTCAGAGACATTGTTCACTGGTCTGAACTGGCTGCTTTACTTTGAAGGAGATTTATTTATCATTTTGCATATCTAAAGCACTTAAATTCCTAGACCTGTAGTAGCCTTGAAATAAATATAAAAGACAACTTTGTATTGCACTTCCATCAAATACAATCAACAAAATAAACCAGTCAACATGGCACATAAGATAAAGATATCCTAGTATGTGTCAAGATAGAGGAAGAGAATACAAATACATTATTTCACAAGTTTCCAGATGGAAATATAACTTGTAAAACTCTGCAGTGCATTACCAAACATTATCATAAATAATATAATAATAAAATGCTGCTTTGAAGGTAGGAAAACCACCTTTAGAAATGTAAAACTCAAATATCCGGTTTTAAAAGATTCAAGATCTATTACAAGCAAAAGTTTATTCCAATAATCGGACTTTGATGATGTGCAGTAGTCCCGGATCAGAGCCAAATTTGTCCTGTTTAATTACATCACAGGTTATGAAGGTCAGAGCTCAAAGGGCAGGAAGCCACATTTGTCCTTGGTAGACCGCAATGGCTGCAGAAATCCACTGAGCCCAGAGGATTTGCATACATTTCCCTTGCCGCATGAGTTTCCTCTCACCGTTGCTCTGCCTGGAACTCTCTGGGGAAATCTGTAGGCAGCAAGAGGCCACACAAGTACAAAAATCTGAGCTAAGAATAACAATAGCACCGAGTTTATTTCATGAATAATATGCACTAATAATAAATCCTTCTGTATGAATTATTTAAACATACACCTGGGTATGAAAAAAAAAAAAGAAAAAGAAAAAAAAAAGTTGCAACACTATAAAACATCTTTATTCATCTCCATGATAAAAGATAAAAGAACTCACACGTGTGTCAAACTGCACCGGAAACTTCCCCAACACACACAGCATACCTTCCACTATTCTCCGAATGATCTCACAGCATTACACAAGAATCAACCGTATTGCTGAGGAGACAATGGTTTAGTTTGACAAAGAGACGCACACAAACTACCAAAATAATACAGTTCAATGAAAAGACAAAATGAAAAAGCAGCTTAAAAAGTAGGCATATTCTACTTCTTCAATTTCTTAAAACCAAAGTGAAGACTCCAGGCCACAAACGGACATTAATTCAGTCATGAGGCGGGCTGTATTACTGCTGAATAAGTGGTTATGTCTGACAGGAGTTTCTAACTGCAGATAGAAAATATGTGGTTCCTCAGCACACAATTACTCAAATTAAAATCAAACCGCTCTGCAACTACTGATCGATGCATCGAAACGTGATTCACACAGACTCATTAATTTCGTCAGTACAGCGTTGCGTCAGACGGAAATCACTTCAAAGCCAAAGTGAACTAAGTGGATGAAGCTTCTCCTCACAAATAAACTCCCCTTTCACTTGAAATGGTGAGAACAGAGGGCGTTTTATGAATGCCGATTTCTGTAATCTATGACTTCGTATCTTCGGTCTCTCATCTCAGGATAACAAGATAATTACCACAGAATTTATAGCTCTCATAAAAATAAGAGGTTATGTCGAAATAACAAAAAAAAAAAAAACTGCTCGTTACTTTAAAATAAATATAAGTTGTGAGCTTGAAATAATGACTGTAATACAATAGCATCATCTTCTTAAGTGGCTGAGAGAGGCCAAAACGTGCACAAAACTCAGTGATTTGAAACGTGCGCTGCATTTAGGGACACGCAGCAAATAAAACACTGCAGTGAGCTCGCAACACAATGAAAGGAGCAGCGTCTCGTAAGACCGACATGTTTTCAGAACAGCATTTCTAAAACAAAGAGCAAATAATAAAGCAAGAAAATATGACTACAATTTAGCATGGGAACTAAAATTATAAACTGAATTTAAGAGAAAAAACCTTAACTTTTGAAAAATTATTTTCCACTTTTGTGTTGTAGTATAAATGTTGGCACTGGGTATCATTCGAAAATGTTCAATGCTGGTGCTGATGCCGACATTTTCTACACCGACACCTAAAACTGTAATTTTCCTGGGAGCTAACTTTAATATAAACATGTTTTTCCTCATTTAACAAAGTAGACCCATTTTTGTTTGGAGTATGCGGCCCAAACATTTAAAGAACATCTATATGTAGTCAAACTAATTTATTCAGGAACTGCCTGATTTGAGCACAGATTTAAAATAAGACAAAAGTGTGGTACAATCGAGTAAGCATAATGTATTACTTTGTTTCCGATTGGAGAGTATGTTGCTAAATCTCTAAATATCTTCAGATTTTTGTCTCTTTTAGCCACTATTGAGTTTCCCTCGTGGAACCTGATCTGAGCCAACTGACCCAAGCAGTCAATAATAGTAAAAACCCACAGGGCTGTTATCAACTCTTTAACTCAAAGTAAATATCTAATGCGG